CTGGGGAGCTGGCCTGTGTGGGCCAGTCGAGAGTCCAGTTCAGGCTTGCACCTTAGGATGGCACAGAGCCTGAGGGCAGGAGGGGGTCAGAGAAGCTCCAAAGCCCTGAATCCCTGATAAAAGGCACGCCTGGCTGGTGGGAGGGAGGGAGGGAGCTAAGGGTGGGGGTGGTAGCCAGGCCCAGCCTTCCCCAGGCCAAGGATTTTAGGGGTGGCTTGGACAGTGTAGTGGACCCTATTGCTGCTGCTGCCACCTGAGGGTCTCCCCACAACCCCAACACACAACGCTGTCTCTGGACTGAGGCTGCTGCCTGGCCCCTAATGGAGTAGGTGAAGACAGAGCAGTTTTCAAGGGGGCCCTTGGGGCCGCAGGGTGGCAGGAAGGAAAATTGCAACCAAACTGGGCCTCCTCCCTTCCTCTCATGATCGCCACTGCATCTGTTCCCTCCCCAGGGTTTTCACCCAGCTGGTCTTGCCCAGGTTAGTGGGCATATAGGTGTCCCAGCCTGGGGGTTTGCCTGTGATCCCAGTATCCACTCGCAGACCCATGTCTTCAGATGTGGGCTGGCTGTAGCCACTGTTTAGGATCGGGGGGAAGGAAGGTAAAATCTCCGGGACACCTGTTAAGTGCCAGGCACGGTTTGGGCCGCTTTACTGTATTATCTCACTTGGCGCTCCTGACCCCATAGTGGGGTGTGTGTTATAATCTCCTGTCTCCCGAAGCATTCACAGCTGAAGGACTTGGCCAAGGCCACACAGTTAATGAGGGGCAGATCTGAGGGTTGCCTTTTTCCAAAAATGCTGGTATGAGGATGCGGACACCCCTCAGCCCCCTGTTGCCTTTCAGTGGATCTCACGACCACATCCAAGAGTATTTGGACACAGAGGGCTTTTGACAAGCCATGGCAGTGTCTTCAGTGGTGGCGGCCTGAGCAGCCATGTGGAACCCATCCATCTTCCTCAAGGAGGGTCTGCGGCCCCTGCAGGAGGTCATGCAGAAGTACATCCGATACGTATGTCTGCCGGGTTTTCAAAACAGTCATTTCTCACTGTCTGCCACATTCCTGCAGAAAGCGCTTTGGGAGAGCCCCCATCCCCAGCAGCGCTTGTTGTTCCTCTCCTCTTCTTCTTAGTTCTTGCAATGCAGCACTGGGTCTCCCCGGCTGCAATGTGAGGAGAGGGTGCTCAGGAGATAGGCCCCTACCATCACCTCCTTCTAAAGCTTCCGAGGTGTGAGGGGGCATAGTAAGGTCTCCTGGATCCAGGATGCTATTGGGGCCCCAGGCACACGATATTGGTCTCTTTCTCTCTCATACCCCACCCCCTCCCCACATACACACACACATGCACGATGACAACGGGCTCTGTGTCACTGAAGACATTCATGCCAACGTGTTGGCGCAGGAACAGCCTCAGCCAGGAGCAGCCATCTTAGCTGTTTTTGTTGAGGACAGATTCTCTCCATAGAGACTTCTCACTGGTCATCAATCAAAATTACTTCTGAAACTTCTTTTTCTAATTCCCAGAGTGCTTTAACCTCTGACTTAGGGCATAGCCTAACTTTAACCCTCTCCTTAGGGACTAGGTTTTTCTCCTCACTGGGAGCTTGATGGTAGTGCCAAGGGCATTTCCCCAAAAAGGAATTTTTTGGCAAGTTCACCTGCCCTGTCCCTTTGGCATAACCCTGGAACCCTGTGAGACTCTGTGATCAGCCATGTGTGTCTACAGGCAGAGACAGTGAGTGGTCCTCAAATTCTTCAGTGAGTTGGGCCTTAGCAGAGGGTACAGCCCTCATCCAGAGCGCGCTCCCTCCCTCCTCTTCAGTCCTGGGGCTCACACACTCCTGGGAGGGTCAGGAGCTTCTCAGATCCTCAGACTGCCTATGCCCTCTTCAAGCCATGGCTGTGCCTGGGCAGTTGTGGCTGCCATGGCATGTGGGTGTCCCCAGGGCTGTGCAAGCTGGGGATGGTAGGAGGCCCTGAGGCCTATGTCCAGAGCTGGGCAGTCTCTGTCCCAGAACATCCCTTGCTCAATTCAGCGTTCCTCCTTCCCTTGGTTCTAGGTGCCCTGGCAGGTTGGTGACCACCAGTCTCTCCAATGGCCAGGTTTGGCCAGAAGCAAAGGGGCTTGCCTCAGCCCAGGTCAGCCGTCTGGCTCTTCTAGCCTGCTGGCAAGTCTGTGGCAGAGAAGACACGTTCAGTAGTGCTGACTTGCTCACTGGGTGAAACGTGATGTTATCATTCCTGCTCAGCCTGTCCCTTGGCAGCTCCTCAAGAGGGTGTGTTGTCCCAGAGGAAGGGAGGAGCTTTCAAGCAGAGGCAGGACTGTTTCTGATCCAGCCAGGTGCCTTCTGTCCCAAACAGCTGAATCAAGGTCTTGCCACTTGCTGGGGTTACCCATGTCTCCCTGCTTTGTCCTGAGCATGCCATCGCACCTTCCCAGGCACTGAAGACAGAGGCCTAGGTAGAGACAGTAGAGGAGCGTAGGGGGCGAGGGGTGGGAGGGGCTTCTGGAGGGCTGGGGCACACTTCACCCACTGCTCTCCCATCTGCTCCAGCCAGGTGGGCTTCTACTGGGTATCCCTGGGCGGTCGTCTTGCCTCCCTAGGCCTGCAGGTCCCAGTCTGTGGAGTGGTGGTGACAGCGGCACCTCACACTTGTATAACTCAGTGAAGTGACAAGTACTTGGGAGATGGTGCTGTGCTTTACCCGTGTGGGGGATATTAGAGACAGGCTGTTTAAGATGTGGGAAGGGAAGGCCCCCATCATGTTTATAAAGAATAGAAGAATGTCACCCCTGTCCTGGCTGGTCCTGCCATACTGGGATTTGGCTTGTTCCCCCTCCCTGCCCTGGAAGATGCTCGGCAGCAGGTCCTCTGTGATAGCCTGTGGTGGCTGAAGCAGGGGGCGCTCCCTGCACATCTGGACCTTGGTCAGGTTGTCCAGTAGCGTGTGCTCCTGACCGAGGGCCTCAGCTGTGGCCCTCGAGCTTTGTACCACTAAATGGAGGAGTAGATGGCCACGATGGAGGGGGCTCTTCACTTCAGCACCATACTATTATGGCACCTAAGAAAGCCAACAGTATTTCCGTAATATCATAAATTATCTACCAGGTTCAAATTTCCCTCATTGCCTAATTTTTAAATAATTGACTTGAATTACAATGTAGATAAGACCTCACATTACATTTGGTTGTTCTCTCTCTTAATCCGTGGGTTCCTCTTCCTTCTTTTTTCTTCTTTGCAATTTATTTGTTGAAAAAAATCATGTCCTTTGTCCTTTATAGTTTTCTGTGTTTTGGAATTTGCTGATCGCACCCCATGCTGTCATTTCACATGTTCCTCTGCCTTGTGTTTCCTATAAACTGGTAGTTATGGGAAGCTTGTAAAACTGCAGATTTCCAGACCCCACCCTAAGAATGTATTCAGCAGGACTGGTGTGGGTGCTGGGGATCGCGAGTTGTCCTAAGAGCCCCAGGTGAGTCTGTTTGCCTCTTGTTTGGGAACTGCCAGCCTATCTGACTCCACCAGTAACCACAAGTCTGCCTCAGTCACACCAAGTATCAGAGAGAGATGCTGAGGTTCTCATTCCCAGCAGTGGGCAGTGGGGGTCACTGCAAGAAGAGGCATGAGCTGTCTTTTGTGGGTTCACTGAGACTCACAGCGGGAACTTTCTGGGACCCCCCCAGGGCCTGGGCCTCCCTCCTCTAACCCAGGTTAGGGAAACTTCTTAAGTCGTAGGACTTTCTCTGGCCTTGAGGGTGTGTGTCGGGGGAAGGAGCAACAGTCTTGCTGCTGTGGCCCCTGAGAACAGGGGTGCTGTCCACAGGTTGGGTGACTTCGCCTGGGCCTGAGGGCTACGAGCTGCCGACAGTGCCCTCTTCTGTTCTGGGCTGAGGCGGCCGGTGGGCTTGGGATCGGGCCCAAACACTGTGCTCTTTCTTCTCTGCTGATAGTCCCCCACCCCCACTCCCTAGGACCAACTGTCCCCTTAACTGCTCAGGGGCATTCCACTGGTAACAGCCAGCACCCGACTGCCATGGCACACAGCAGAAGGAGTGATGTTTTTAGCATCTACATCAGATCAGTTCACTACCCTGTTCAAATTCCTCCCAGGACTTCCCATCACATTTAAGACAAGATCTACACTCCTCACCACAGCTGACAGGGCCCGCTGTGGTCCAGCCCATGCCTACCTCTCCAACCACATCTTTCATTCTTCTCTATCTTTCCTATAGGCCACACTGGCCTACCTGCTAGTCCTAGAACAGGCCAGCCTCACTCCTACTGCAGTGTCTTTGCACTTACTGTTTCCTCCTCCAGGAATACTCTTCCTCCAGCTCCTCACATGACTCCCTCACTCTCATCTCCATCGAAATGTCACCTCCTCAAAGAAGCCTTCCCTGACTACCTTGTGTAACGCAGCACCCCCCACACCACTCTAACTTCTTATTCTATTTTATTTTTCTTTATAGCAATTATAATGACTTGAAATTATAGTTTACTTGTTTGTTCCTTCGTCTGGTTTGTGGGAGCCTCGAGGAGAAGGGCTTTGATCATCTCATTCACTGA